TAAAGAGAAAATTCACAGTTGAACATTATAATAGAATTTTATCTAATGGCGAAAAAGTTAAACGTAGATGGTTAATTTATTCAAAGAAAAAAGATGTCGTCTATTGTTTTTGTTGTWAACTTTTTGGAAATTCATGTGGTAGTGGTTTGGCAGATTATGGGCTGGATGATTGGAAACACATTTCAGAGAGAATAAAAAGTCATGAAAATTCTCAGAATCATTTACTAAATACTGAAAAATGGATTAGTTGTGAAATAAGAATGAAGAAAAACATAACAATTGATAAACAAAATTTAGCATTAATTAGAAAGGAAACTGAACATTGGCGGGCAGTTTTAACTCGTATTCTTCATATTGTACATTATTTATCAGAACGAAATCTTGCTTTTCGTGGTAAAAGTGACACATTATTTACTTCAAATAATGGAAWTTTTCTTGGGCTTATAGAAATGTTAGGAAAATTCGATCCCATAATTATAGAACATATTCGTAGAATCCAATCAAAAGAAATACATGACCATTATTTAGGAAAATCCATACAAAATGAATTTATTAATATGCTGGCGTCTTTTGTATCAAATACAATTTACAAAAAAATAAGTACGGAAAAATATTATTCAATTATACTTGATTGCACACCAGATTTAAGCCATAGAGAACAGCTATCTATTGTATTACGTTGTGTTAATATGCATTCCGAAAAAATTAAAATTGAAGAACATTTTATTAAATTCTTAGAGATTCATTCATCGACTGGAGAAAATATTAGTTTGACTATTCTTTCAGAATTAGATAAAATTGGTTTAAATATAGAAGATTGTAGAGGGCAGGGATACGATAACGGTGCTAACATGAAGGGCAAGTATAAAGGAGTACAAGCAAAAATTCTTCAAAAAAATCCAAAAGCATTTTTCACTCCATGCGCTTGTCACAGTCTAAATCTGCTATTAGGAGATATGGCAAAATGTAATTCAAAAGCAATGACTTTTTTTGGTATAATGAATAGAATATATACTATATTTTCAGGTTCTCCAATTAGGTGGTCTATTTTAATAAAAAATATTCCTAATTGTACAGTAAAACGATTATCAGAAACTAGATGGGAAAGCAGGATTGAGAGCGTAAAACCTATAAGATATCATACTGCCTTAATTAGAGATTCTCTTTTAGAAATAGCTGAAACTACAAATGATTCTACTATAAAAAGTGAAGCTGAATCACTTGCGTTAAATGAATTGGAAAATTTTGAATTTATTGTGAGTGTAGTGATATGGTATGACCTTCTTCTATCAGTTAATAGTATTAGCAAACTATTACAGTCAAGTGATATGAACTTGGATGTCGCAGTTAACGGTTTAAAAGGTCTACTAAAGTTTTTGAAAAATTATAGAGATACTGGATTTACTTCTGCAATAGTTGATGCAAAAGAGATTGCAACTATTTTAAAAATTAATCCTGTGTTTAAAGAGACAAGGACTCGAAAAATAAAACGATTATTTACTTATGAACAAGATGATGAACCAATCAACTTGAATAAGACACCAGAAGAAAAATTTAAAATTGAATATTTTTATCAAATTGTAGATACTGCTATACAATCTATGGAGTTACGTTTTCAACAATTTGAAGAGTATTCTAATATGTTTGGGTTCTTATATTCTCCTGAAAAATTACGTAGTATTAGTGAAAATGACTTAATGAAATGCTGTTTTGATTTGGATATTTCTCTGAGGGATGGTGAAAAACACGATATTGATGGCGCAGAACTTTTTTCTGAATTAAAAATTCTCAGACAAATGATACCTAAAGAAATTAATACGTCTATCGNTTTTTTATTCTCGATCCACGTTTTTGACCCCACTCCCACCTCGTATGTATATGCAAATAAATACATCAGATGGCCAGTAATTATTTTTTAGGTATTTTATAATATAGAATGACGTATATATTATGAACTTTAACAAAAATGACCAAAAACGAAGGTGAAAACATGATATATATATACATATATATTAAAAACCGCACGTGTGCATAAGGCCTAAAGACAACTGCAGCAAAGCGAGACAACATCGTATTATGAAATATATTATAATAAACTAACCACGGTATACAGTCTGAATTAATGATAGTAAGAGAGGGGTGAAGACTAATCGAAAGCACATCAGTAAGCTCTGCGTGATTATATSATATCCATATAGATTATATTAGTTATAATTTTAATGATTAAACAATGCCAGTGGTRTTCCGTTTATTATTAGTTTATTACACATACAAAAGTTTAATGGTATGTATATCAATTAGGGAGACACATTTGCCCATTTGCGTCAGTATCATAGAAATTAAAAAAAGTTGATGTTTTAAATATTTTGTTTTTGGTTATTATAATATAAGACTGGCTGACGCCTGGGGGAATGGAGTACATTTCAAGTGTGCCGTGTGGTATCAACTATCAAGTACAATATATTATAGAAAGTAAATACTTCTAAATAAATTGTGTAACGTTCTGCTGTACATTTACATAGYGCCTAAATAGTCACTGTAATGGATATGACGTGTTAAACTTAAATTTGAGTTCAATGTTATAAAATCATTATTTACGAAAAACGATTTTGAGCGAGAATGATCTGTCAGCCTAAAATATTACTATAGTATATAGATGTATTTTATGATAACATTGTGATTAAATTAATTTATATTACAATCAGGTATTGGTATTGCAGAAAATTAAATTAATTTTAAATTCTTTTTAAAAATCGGATAAATAATAGGTATGGCTATAAATAGCTCAACATTAGATAAAATATTTTAGACTTTGAATTTTGACCTTCTGAATGCACCAACTATATTTATTTTTCTTTAGAAAAAAATCTGAAGTTAAAATCGAAGCATAATTTCAACTGCTTATCGTGTACCTACATAGATACGAAAATAAATTAATAATTAATTAAAAAACCCCACATTGAAAAATCAACACATTCATTGCTCAGAATGTAAAATTAATATATAGATGGCACCAAAACAAATTTTTAAATGTTTGATTAATAACGTGGTTTTTTATATTTGATACTCATAAATAATAAGTTATAAATTATAATATATCAGGCTTTTTAAAGAAGTAGGCATCCTGTATTTGATTAATGATTATAAATCTAATCATTAAACATGGTTTAAAAACATTTAAAACTAATTGAGAATATTATGTGATAAATACTTAAGACTAGATTTATTAAAACATTTTTGGTTGAAATCACAARAATTACCGGAAATTATGTATCCATGTATCGTTCTTCTAATATAAATGCATAAAAAATACTTTATATTTTTAGTAGTGATATAAAATTGTGAATTTCTTTGCATATTATATTCATTACAGCCATACCTATTAGTCCACATAGTTTTGTCTACATGCACCCATACAAATTAGCAATTTGTTATGAGGTACCAATTTTAAAAAGCGGGTAAGTGAATGTTACTCTGCAATTTGACAATACATGGACGCACACACAGTGGTGAAAAACCGTACGCGTGCGACGTGTGTGAAAAATCGTTCAGCAGAAATAGACAATTGATAATACATCAACGCAYACACGGGATAAATCATATAAACAAATAATATTTGCACTGATAATATATTGTATTTTTTATACTGTTAATGAATACGTATATTATTTAACACGCTATTTATTCATCATTTATTCTCAATCTGATTACATAATTAATATAATTCATACAAAATATTCTTACAATATTTAACTTAACATCTTGTTTGCAGTAAAATAATATAGTAAACCATCATTGTAAATTAGGTACCTATATAAGTTAKACTGTTTCAAAACTAAAAAATTATAAGGATAAAATGGTAAAAGTTTAAAACGATATATATAAGTGTTCACATTTATATTGATATTTCTGGCTTTATTTCCATGGGCTTTTTTCCTTGATGTGTTTATTTTTTTGGGCTTTTTTCCGTAAGGGTTTTTTTTCAGGGGGGCTTTTTATCCATGGGCTTTTTTCCGCCTACCTGGAAAACGATACGGTTCATGTTGTATATTATGACGAATAGGTTATCTCATTGTCCAAATTTTCCACCTTGACCGTAACGTGTCTTCCCACGTCGCCGAAACCCAATTTGCCGACACCCCATTTCGCCGACTATTTTTACATGTTCCAAATTTGCCAAATATAAATATTATATAAAAAAAATAAACATTATATTATTATACTATAGTTATATAATAAAAGTCAATATAAATTAAAATAAAAAATTATAAACAAAAATTATTGTATGTAGATATGATATTTTATTATATCTATGTAGTCCAATAATGAAATTTCTTTTGATTCCAATCTAAAATAAAGTACAAAATAACTTATTAACAATCCTATGTGTAAAAATTAACTATTTTATAATATTTACCTATCTTTTGCATTTGCTAATCTTTTTTCAAGACTCCGAAACTTCATTTTACYTAATGGTTTTGGATTACCGTTTTTCTGGGCTACAATGTCGAGTTCAAAATGTTGTTGATTTTTTTATCTCGTTTATCAACAAAAATATACTTGGCTTTGGTCGACTAATAGATCGGTTTAAAGCTGCATGCCAACCTTCTAAGTGGTTAGTTGTCCGTGTCTTATCAATGTTGAAGTGATTCCATATTTGTTTTTGATAAAAATTATTGTCACCTGTCGGCGAATCGGGAAAATTGAAACTACCTATATTTATAATTTGTCGGCAAACCAAGATGTCAGCAAACTAGACTGTCGGCGAAATGGGAATGTTTTTAAAATATTTTAAAACTGGTAGGTATATATTTGTCGGCAAACCCAGTTGGATTCGCAAAGTGGGTACGAACCGACCATAACACATATTTTAATACACGCCGCATATGCTATTATTACAGAATATTATTATTGTATTGCTTAGTTTTTCGCTTTGTACACGGTAATAATGAAAATACGCATACTMAGTAATAATTGTATGTTTGTTATTGACCAAAAGAAAATATATTACATCACTGCAGGRATACACTGCCATCGTACGACTTGTCTAAATTCGTCTACGTACCTTTTCATTACAGCCATACCTATTTGTACATAGTTTTTCTTTAATGAGGAACGCAGAAGATAGTTTTGTTATAGTAAGTTGTAATTTGGAATTTATACCTGTTCAATTTTTAACAATGTGTCAAAATTAGAGAAATACTGCTTTTATTTAGTGCTCTCAGTCTGACACAGGATTATTTCATGTTCATTCACGTGTGATAAACTCCCATGACTTTTTCATTATTTAACTAAAATGTGTAAATAGTAGAGAAGTGTACCTAAATGTTTATTCTACACAATTTTGCTGATAATCTGAGTAAATGAAGTTGTATATTATGTTAGATAAAGATGTATGTCAAAAGTTAGTCTTGATGTAAAACGTAATCTTTGTAAAAAGCTATATTGTTCGGTAATACTTGCATAGCTTTAAACTTTATATACAAAACAATTCAAAATTAAAATTTTTTTTTTCATTATTATTAGAAAATTAACAATTCGGTACAATATTAGCACAATAAGATTATTTGATAAAAGGATAACAAAAACAAAAAAAAACGAAAAAGAAATAACATGCCTAACTAATCCATTAGCTACACACTCTTGGATATTGATTAATTAGTTTTTTTCATTACATAGAGAGTATTATAAATATTAAATTTATTTTTACATTTTACTTATTTTAACATTTATTTGAAAAAAATATAAATTATACAAATTAAAGATAGTTAATACATATTGATAATATAAATTACTCTAGGAGTTTACCATCTAATTTATATAGGGTCTGTTTTGAAAATTAACAAGCTTTGTGTTTATTATAATTAAAAAAAAAAAATAAATTTAATATTTATAATACTCTACGGCTGTGGTTGCGGCGAAGACTCTCCGTAACGGTTATTGTATATATTATATTATATATACATTCTCCGCGCCGCGTTGTGCACTTTATTATTATTGTTATTTTCGCGGCATGTCGTTATATATTGTATAGGTATACGCACGAATATCTGTCTGTGGCGACTGAGGCGTCAATTCC